AATTCTCTACATTAAGAGTTACTTACAGTGCAGTAATTTCCTTTTTGGGAGGTATGGTCCGTTTCTATTGGAAAGATGGAAATGACAGTATTAGTATTAGTATATTGGTATTATTAATATTTGTAGAATTCATGTAAATCAGTAGGAAGTTTGTATGCATCTAGATTTTATTCATGTAATATATAGTAAACTGATAATAATTGATAGATAGGCATACAACTATAATGATATCACGAAAAAGAAAAGAGAGATGTCAATAAATGCAAGGATATACATGATATACTTTTTTTTCTATTAATAAACAGAATAAAATAGCGACGAATATTTATATATGAATATCAAGTATAACTTTTATGATTCCATCTTTGCGTGTAATTTTGAATATATCAAGAATTGAACTTGCTGCCAATAAGGGCATTCCTTTTCAATTGAGAATGACTATTGCATATTTTATGTGTTACGATCGAGGTTGGATGACGAAATGTCTCCTTTTCATCACATGACGAAAATAAATGTGACGAAATAGGGTTTTTACACTTTGAGTAATTTGACGAAAGTGACGAAATCAACAAACAATAAAATAAAATAAACCAATTATTTTGGAGATTTTAAATTATGGAGTAAATAAAATTCATGATGTCAAATTCTAGTTCACCCAATTCACCAATTCCTTCTCAATCATCATCATATAATATGAATTTGCAAACATTAAAATTAAAGTTCATTTAACAATAATCAAGAATTAGCTACAGGACGTCCTGTGTTTGATGTATGGTTACACTCCATTAAAATAGTAAATGAAGAATCATTTCAACAATCAGAATTATCAGATGATTCTACAGATTTTGAAGAAAGTTATGAAACCAGCAATAGATGTGAAGCAGCAATTCCTATTAAAATTTTGCGTACAAAAATTAAGTATCCAACCAAGAAACATGATTTACTATGTAAAAAAAATGTTTAAATTAAATTTTTGTTTTAATAAAAATGAATTTTATATTTTCGTCATCTTATCACAATTTGACTTTTGACTTTTACCCTTTGTCACTTTCGTCACGTTTCGTCACGTTTCGTCACGTTTCGTCACTTTCGTCACTTTCGTCACGTTTCGTCACTTTCGTCACATTTCGTCACAAGGGTCCCATTTGACGAAATACTTTTTACACTCCAAAATACTTTCGTCACCCAACCTTGGTTAGGGTATAAAGGATTTCAATCAAAAGGTAATGGTGATGGCTGCTTTAAAGATCATTTATGTTTGTTTCAATTTAAAATTTTACGAAAAAGGAGTCAAAAAGTATTTCGATTTCTTTCTTACCGCCAAGGATGCCACAAAATCAACATTACATACAACCTCTTATGGAGACCCTAAAGTCAGCATTCAAATATTAATCAATTGCATACTATGTGCGAATTTAGAATTTGTTATCATAATAATAACGATTTAACATATTTGATTGCTAAAAGAAAATGATTAATAAATTTTGTTTAATTGCATACTTGTGCGAAGAAAATCCACCTTCCGCTTAGTAAAGGCAGCAATAATAATAAGCTTGTTTATATTAGACAACACTTTTATAAAAACTTACACGCTTCCAACTTAGTAATTAATTGGTATAGGCATGTACATAGGTCCCTTATTCAAAAGGTATTAATGTCAATAGTAATGATAGTAACAGTAATAATCACAACGTGTAAATTTATACAAAAATTTTGTTTGCGCACGCGCGATTTAGCAATTAGCATTCTTTTTTTTGTCTTATTAAATAAATTTTATTATTGACAACCATATAAATATAGGTTATTGATTAATAATATTAAAAGATAACTTAGTGATGAGCGAATTTTAATGGAAAATAAAACGTAAAAAAATAATTCAAGTCTAGCATTTGATGTTACTACTGCAAGAAAAAATTGAAAGTTATTATTATCATCATTGATGATGATGATGATGATGATGATGATATATTGATATTTTGATAATTGTTCGAAGGTTAATTATTATTTATAGTGAAGCTTATGTTTCAACAAAAGAGATTGGGAACTTCAATATATTCGGCGTATATTTTCAAATTAAATTATTTAATATCATTAGTAAATAAACATCGAAACTTCAATATTCTAACCATAAAATAGTAGAACACGCACAAGTGCACTCACAACCATCAACGCCGGGTGATGGGGGTGTACATAAGCAGAGCGAGTTATATTATTAATAGCAAAGACGTCAATTTGTTTAAACAGCAGCAACAACTGAATCATGCGCTAAATAATGTCACGTGACCTTAATAATTTAGTAAGTAGTAAAATGCATTGTTTATTTATGTATGGGAAGGTTGGATTAAATGATACAAAAGGATTACAGAAAGAAAAATACACGGGAAAAGCTATAAAAAAAATGGTAAAATGATATCACTGCATTATTATTGCATTATTGTTAATATTAACATTATTATTGGGTGTGGAATTTATGCAAGTGATAAAGATGTAATGATTGATGAAGCAGAAAAGTTATGGATGGAGATAAATTAAGAAGATTAGAAACATTTAGATAATTATAGATAATAAATAATAATTGTTTTAGTTTTTTCTCGCTGCACCAATGTGCCAAAAAAATGTCAATTTAACAAATTATTAGCATCATCGTGGACATTTACCCGGATATTACATAAGGAGAATCAGCTAGTAAGAGTAAATTAGGATAATGATATTTGTAATTGTTTGTGTCGTTGTTTAATTAATTAGTTGTTTGACTTTTTAGATTAATGTTGAAAACACGAGTTAAATAAAGCGATCATGATGATGATAGCAATTGTTACACATGATACCAATTTTCTCATGCAGTAAAGAAAGTAAATAAATATTAATATGTATATTATTTATTTTATTATTTATTTTTAGCATATAAGTATGCGTCAAGCATAGCATATACATATAAATATAAAAATAACGTTATAATACATACCAAATATTAATTAAAAGTCACACCACATAAAGAAAAGGAAAATATTAATATCAATATTGATTGTTTTGATTGGTTTAACAAGGAACGAGATTATAATAAATATATTAATGTGTAATTGTTTTATAATAAAAATGTTACATAAATTAATTTTATTTTTAATTTATTTATTTATGTATTATTATTATTATCTGATAAAGTTGTTACCATCTTTCCTTCCAAAAGTTTTTATGGGATGGATATGGAAGTTTTCTATGTGGAGCGAGGAGAAAGACGATATGAATTGAAAAGCAAGTTGGGGGTAAAATGTAAATCAGTTAAATTAATTGATATCAATATAGTTAGGACAACGCGTCTCATTTTATTTGTTTATTTTCAATGTCTTTTTCATATCATATATGATTTAAAGTTTGCTTATGTTGACAATAAATTAATTTGTGAGAGGGAGAAAAAAGAAACTCGTGGTAAATAGATATTGTAGATAAAAAACACATGAAATAAAACTAGTAATTAATCCACCCCATGCACATTAAATAATTTTTAATTATTTATAATAATTATTCTTGCGTACAATTGTAGACGATACATCAAACATATTCACAGTATTCTCATGATGCAAATATTTGGACGGATTTTTTTGGTATTTTCATTATTGATTAAACTTTCCCACATAATTTATTAATTATCAAAAGTTACATATGCCATATTAATTTATTTTTTTGGATTCCTAAAATCAAATTTGATTAATTGATTGTTCAACTGCTTGATTGTTCCTGGATTTTAACAGTTAGTTTTCCGGCTGAAATTACATACTATTATTTATTTTCCCTTTTCTTTCTTTAGATGGTAAACAAAAATACAAAAAATAGAAGGAAATGGATGTTTTCTATTACACAATTGTTGTGTAATATATGTGTATCTATCATTTACCAAAAAAAACTAGTTTAAAAATAACTATGACGAATTAATCGATTTTCTCATATCAGCAGCACGTGACCTCCGCAACGGCAAATTTTCATACATTTGATTGATACAAATAATAATAATTAATATTTTTTTTTGTATATGAAATGATCAATCAAATAAAAACCATAAATTTAAAATTGCAATTCATTCGTTAAGATTAATATTCTAAAAAAAAACATGCAAAACAAAAATGTATTTATACGATCGACTAAACTAATGAACTGACAAAACAATATATTCAAGTGTATAAAATAAATGAATCGTTAATATCATCATTGATGTTGAGTGACTATCACCAAGTATGTAATTCAAATTGCTGAAGCTATTCATAAATTTCTCTCCAACATTTAATTTAATTGCCAGAGATGTAAATTTCTTTAAATTGCTAATTTTTTTAATCATTTTTTAATGTTACACATACACGAATGTTTTTTTTTACAACAAATATAAAAAGCTATTTATGAAACATAATGTATTTTATTTATTAGCCACACATAAAAAAGTATTTTTTTCTTAGAGTATAAAAATCCGAATTTTTTACCTTTTCCACAAAAATTTTTTAAAAAAAATTTAAATCAAAAAAAAAATTTTTTAATCTCAAATTTATAAAAATTCACTCAAAACAAAAAAAATAACCCTTACCCTCATTAAACAATACAGAAAAATCGGTTAACATATATCTCCTGATCTGTGGTGCCATTTTTTTCCCATTCTATACCACTATTAATAAGTCTCGTGTTTAATGATTTTTTAGTGCTTTTAACTATAATTTTTTTATTTTTAGTAAACTTGGCAGAGTATTATATATTATACATATATATGCATAATATATGTATATATAGAGATACGAGATTTTAAAAATTTCGAAAAAAATTAATTGTTGTAAATATAAATAATACAAATCGATTCAATATTAGTTAATATACAAATTTAATTGTAATTAATATATATATACATATATACATACATATATAATATATATATATTTCAATATATTATTTCAAAAAATAAACCATAAATAATAATTTTGTAAATATTTTATTTCACAAAAAAAAACCCCAAAATTAAAATCATGATGATGATGGATTCTACAAGAGATTCTACCACATATATTTCATCATTATTATCATCAGAACCACCAGAAGAATTATGTATACCAACAACAATATGTTTGGAAACAAATGATAGCGAAGATGAAGAAACATCATCACAACAGGAAGAACCAATAATTCATCACGACAATCATCGTAAATCTGTGCAATTTTCAAGGTTTTTGGTGGTTCACGAAACTTGGTGTAACGACGAGTATGATCGTACGTCAACAGAACCTGCAAGGCTTTCTTTCAAAGACTATACAGAATTATTACAAATAAAAATTGATTTAAGGAAAGAAGCAGATAAAATGACGAAGGCCTCTGCTGTTGTTTCTGATCATCAATCTACCAACACATCGAATAATCATCAACACCATGTATAGGTTAAACGATAATAATTAATTAATTAATCACGGAATTTTTTAAATTGATTATAAAAAATTTTACTGGGAGGAAATTCTTTTATAAAAAAAAAGGTGTCAACAAAAATATAGAAACCACGCCGAGAAAAAAAATCGGAAAAACAATATATTATAGGTAAAGATGAAATAACAAATATAATAATATATGACATCTATCAACCAACTACATACACACCTTAATAATAATAATTTTTTTATTTTTAAAAAGAAATTAAAGAAATTGGAGATGATAATCAATTAATATTTAATCTTATCAATTGATTTGAAATGATTTTTATATTTTAGATGTTATTATTATAGATTGTATATTTTTTTTTTTTCTCCAAATTTACTCGCACATTTTACATATTACAACAACTCACACACATCATTATTTCTCTTTAATTCTAATATAATTGCTTTAATAATTAATAATAATAATTACTACTTTTTTATTTTATTCTTTTTAATTTTGTACATATTATTTTCTTATTTTTCCTTAAATAAATAAATAAATATTTAAAAAAAAAACTTTAATAAAAACAAACATCATAATGATGATGGATATATTAAAAGCAAATGTCCAATTTGGCATGGTGCCAATCATGTAATCCAAAGCTATTACAGTCACTCTCTCTATAACGAACGGCCTTTTCTATAGCTGTCTCTAATCTATAAATAACTGGGAATTAAAGCCTGGTTTTTTGCTATTTAATAATATACAAGTAAAACAACAATAACGATAATAATAAGGGTTGTCTATAACGGCCGACGATTATATCACATGATACAGAAATCTTTTCCAGATTTAGAAAACTCCCGACAAAAAACTTGTTTCGATATTTGCATAAGAACCTCCTGGGATTCCTGGATTATATAATTGACTTAAGCCTTATTGAAAAAATTATCCAATAGATTTTTATCTAAAGATCTTATTAACATAGTTGTTGATGCACTTCATTAATTCTTAATAAACCCATATCTGAATCTGATATAATTTCCCAAGATAAAACGAAACATTTCAAAGATATCAATAATTTAATAATTTAAAATTTTCTTAAAATGGAAAAGGCATGAAATCTTCTATATCAATTACAATTTATCTTTCTATTTTTAAAATTTTTTGTATTTACCCATAATTTCATACGACTTAAAATTGCTTTACCTGATTTTGGATATAACTTGTAATAAAAATTCTCTACCATACCGAAAATAGTCACACCATTTATTTAAAAAGCCCTTACCCAAATTCTCAAAACTTCGGATGTACCTCAATGTAATAATCCAGGTTTTATTTGCATTTAAAAGGTCATTATTGCTATTTTAGTAGCGTATGATTTAATTATCTTAATTATCTCACCCAATAATAAATATTTCGCCATTTTAGCAAAATCATTTTAATATAATATATTTTTTTTTGATGACATTCTTGTTTTATATTGTTATTACCTCATTTTTATATTATCGGTTATATCATTGATTAAAAGAGAAATCAAAAACCTGATTTTGGTTCGCATCAATCAACATTCTTTAATATTGAATAAAATTAACGTAATGGTTTATACAAACAAAGTCTTGTTATAAACGGAAGGACCGTTATAGGGAGAATGAACTGTATTAATTAGTGAAACATAATTGTGGCATTAAAAAATTATTCACAGAATATTTCTTAATGAGGTAAATTATTTTATTATTAGTTTCAGATTTTTTAAAATTGATTCATATCCACCGATTTCTGCAAGGGTACACCATTTTTGGGGTATATTTTTGAAAAATTTGGCACATTTTTTGTTGTCTTGATATATGTAAACTAGCCCCTCAATTTGTTATTTTTGGAGTAAATATCCCTATTTTACAATTCTATTAATACCAAACCAATCACTTTTTATATACACATATACAGTGAGTAGGATCTCATAGGATTGCAAGTAGTTAGTTGAAGGAAATTTTATTTTGTAATTTTGTAATTTGCTAATTTTTTTTTTAAATTTTATATTGTAGTAATGAATATTGAACATAGTAGTAACTCAAACGCATGTAACAATTTATATAACTCAAAAGAATGGGTTAAATCAACACAAAGCACAAAACATTACAATTTTCACAAGTATACTCTAAATGTTCTCACCCTTCTGAATATTGTTTTTCATAATTTAAAGGATCATTAATTTTTAATGACATTTCATCATAAAGTTTAGGGAAAAAAATCATTTACCTTTCCATGTGATGAGGGTATATTCCTAAGTTTTTAAAGACAATACTCGAAGATATCCACCTGTTAGACGTTTTTATTTGTTGAAGATGAAAATTAAGGTGACAAAATTTTAAATTTTTTTTTTTATTAATTTTTTAGAAATTAAAAATGTATATATGCAATTAATGGTAAAGGGGTAATCTAATTTATATTATTTTTTTGGTACTTTATTAATTGTTGGTATTTGATTATAATTATAATATAAAGATGATTCTCATGTTCCAAAATTTCAATTATAGTTTTTTTTCCCTTTCCACCATCTTTCAATGTTTTTCTAAAATATTTACTTATTTGTATATGATTTTTTTTTTCAACAGGACTGCATGTAAATGCTTTAATTCCATAATCATGGTGAATCACCATAAATATCATACATATGATGAACCAACACATAGATATAAGGAATCACATCATTATTTGTATATAATTTTTTTATATAATTTTTTTTACATAGATCTCCAGTTGATGATGTCAAAAATTTAGTCAATCATAATTTTGCTTGACTTTTGAAAACAATTGGATTTGTTGTAAGTAAGGATACTGGCTGCAACTTTTGATGATGGTTGCTACCACCTTTGCATCATATAAAAATAATTACAACCACTGGAACTGCCTTTACAACCATTTTGTTTCCTTTTTTGGGTTGCAACATGGAACACTACTTGTAAGGCTGTATAAAGATCATCAAAGTCATCCCACAACTGATGAATAATTATTGCTCTATTTTCAGGTAAAACACTTACCAAATTATAATTTTTTAGAACTTTTAATTTATCTCCACCCATGAGACCACAAATATAATTATTCAGATACATCTCTTTGGGATTAAATTAAATAGAACCTAGGGACCTTTTTTTCCAGGTAAATAAGCCATAGAATAAAAGTAATTATTGACCATAAGTCAGTGGACAGGCTGTGTGTCATACAAGGGAATCAATTGTAAGTCAGCAGGTAGGCTGTGTGTTGAACCTATAAATAACCTATTAAATAGAAAACTTGGATTGCATGCTTGCAATATATATTCAATGTTCGGAAGCAAAACATCTTTTAAACAATCTAATTTTTTGTTAGATAAGTATAAAGTCTTTAAAGTTTTTGAGTGCTGGTATTAATGAATGATCTATGTTATTTTCTCCACTACTTGAATAATAAAATACCAATTGTGAGTGTGTGCTTGTATTATCTTTATGATATTATATAATAATTTTGTATAAATAATATCATCATTGTCAGCTAACTCTTCCACATCATTGTTAGTAATTGTTAGTTCCACTATTTTATTTTGTGAGTCAAACTTTCTTCATTTTTTCTATTATTTCATAATCTATCCCAATTGATTGGATTGATTTAGAAATTTTTGTTAATTTGTCAATAAATCTATAACAGTATCTATCAGCAAATCCACAATCTAATTTAACAAGTCCATTAAAGCAATTCATAAATCTATTGTATTTGTATATTTGATGAAGGTCTATCTCAAATGTGCTGAATTCCCTAGTAACTGATGAATGACTTAAATAAACTTTATTAACCTGTTTTGTAAAATGGTTTCCAATTCAGTGGATGATTTTAAAAATTCTTTAAATTTATGTCCATCAGTATAATAGAAATAACTTTTTGTGCAAAAATTGGAATAATTGATCAATGGAGGTTTTTCCAATAGCTCAAAAGTTAGTTTAATGTCTTTTTTGGTCAAGAAATCTTTATCTTCTTGCAATAAACAATTAATTAATATTTTGGTACTATCAAGGGAGTAAAATGGATCCCTCCATAAAATGGGAATACTTATGTTGTGCCATTGTGTATTGACAAGAATACAAGAATACAATGTATTATAATCATTTTCATTATATTTGAATATTCTGGTCAAGAGTTCAGGTGGAAAATTTATTATCAAGAAATGGAAAGATCTCTTCTATTTAAATTAAGTAAATAAAATAATGAATTGCCATTTTTAATTAATTAACTCGAGTGACAACAAGTAGCAATAACCACCACCGCCACTCTTTTGATAAACACTTACCCCTTCTCCACACCATATTTTTCATCATTTTTTCTTTTATTTGTATTTCTTGATGACATATTTAAAAAAACTAGAAAAGCATTGAATGACGAATAATCAAAATGATTATTTTTCATTGTCCAAGATTAAATATATTTTGACTTGTTAAATATTGGTTTTTGCAACAGTCTTCCTATTTTTTTTTCATTTTTAAAGTTTACAAACTTCTAAAAATGTATCTCAATGGTCCCTGACAACTCAGTGATGACATGATCATGGCAGAAATGTTATGATGAACTGATATAATGCATTAGAAAACATTCTGTCAGGAAATGATGTCCTGTAATAGTAAGGGAAACGGTTGTCACACAACCCTGCTCAAGATATACATACAGTATATGTATGCCAAAATAATTTTTTCTCAATAAAATTTGGTTGACATACAAAAAAGTTTGGTTCAAAGCTTTATACAAGACAATGATAATCATTTATGGTGTAGATAGATATATTCATTAAAGGAAAATTTTGTAAATTAATTCCTTTGTCAATTCATGAAAACAGCCCAATTAATTACATTCATTCTATACACTATACATTTTTATTACCAAAATTAATAGAAATGTTCTTGTTCACCATTAAATGCCCCTAAAAAAAAGTTTAGATACTTATTTCCTACTTATTTTCTACTTAATTTTTACAAAACATACTTAAATCAACAAATATTATTCACTAATTATTTGCAAACATGTATGAATATACTTATTTTTTTTATAGTAATAGGAATGTAGATATCTAATTATACACTTAAAATATACCTCTGAATTTTAAAACATACTTATTTTCTTGATTTTGTAATTACTTTATATATCCTTAAAACATACTTGAATTTGAAATACAAATAATAAAATTATTCTTTTCGCATTCAAAGAATTGACCAATCCAATTTCACTTCTGACTGATAAATGAATGTGTATGACTAAATAACTAACGATTTATTTGATTAATTACACAACAAGGATATTAGCATCAAACAAGGTGATGAATACCAGGGAGCAAAATCCTATTATAAAATTCCAGGCACTGATAAAATTTAGAATGTCTAATAAAAAATTTTGGAATAGGCCATTTTCCAACTACACATTTTTAATATCAATGTTAACACAAATTCTTTATCTGAATTATTCGTTTTAGTTTTATTTGAATTGTCCATTTTATTTGAATTATTCGATATTTTTTTGTTTACATGAAATGAAAACTACATCTTGAAACTCTGGTATGAACAACAACGTATGGATCTTTGAGTAATAAATTAGAAATGTTGGTTTATTTTATTTTGTTTAGTGTTTGTATTCATTCGGAATTATTCGGACATTGTCCAAATATCATTCATGTGACTGATATTTGAATATCATGAATATTATTCAAATATCATGAATATCGAATATCGTAGTTGATCTTACTAAAAAAGGAAAAGATAAACATTTAATAATAATAACGTTTTACTATTATTAATATTAACAATACGTGTGTGCATGTTCAAAAAAAAATTTGTTTATTTTACATTCAAGGAAATTAAGGAAATTGTTTATGCATTTATCTACCCTATTACTAATTTGTTATAGAATCTGTTTTGTTATTTCAATTAATATAGCATTGTACTTTTTTTATCTTTAGATTTTCCAAAAGACTTTTAACAATAAAAAAACAATTATTATTATGAATTATCTTGTTTTTTTAGTGGTGATTGAGTGTCTTTACACTTTCAAAAAAGATATGTTGGCTTTTTTTTTGACGGAGAAATCAATTCTGTAGCAATCGAATATCTTTACACTAGTGGGGATGTTGTAGTATAATTATACTACAACATCCCCACTTATTTTAGACTATAGCCCCCCCTCCCATGTGGCCTAATCCGTTTTTTTGGCCACATTCGAGGGCGGCCATTTTTGTTTTTTGGCCACCTTCGAGAGCGGCCATTTTTCATTTTTAGGCCGCATTTTTGTCTTATTTTAGTTCGATTTTTTATTTACACATCAGATAACGTCTGTAGACGTTATAGACTGCTTAATTATCCAACTATCTTTTTTAGCCGTTTTATTGTCTTCAAAGCTTAAAAGGCTATGCAATTGAAGAATAATGAAGAGAACAACGGAGTCTGGAATGTAAATAATATTGAGGAGGATATTAGGAATGAAGATTGTGATGTGAAGAATAACGAAGAGGATGATGGAAGTTGGAATATGAAGAACAATGAAGAGAAGAATCGAGGTTGGAATAATGTAACTGAATATACTAATGAAAAAAATGAAGGGTTGAGTGAAAATATTAATAGGAAAAAGAACGAATGTTGGAATAGCATTGTTGAAAACCCTAATCAGAGTAACAATCAAAAGGATGTAGAAGATTATAATAATATCGTTGAAACTGCTAATAATAGTAATGATGACTACTGGGGAGACGCAGAAAATCAATTAATAAATAGCATGAGTAATAATAATATTAATGAAAAGAATAATGAAGATGATTATTGGGGAAGTGAATTACAAGATAATCAAAATAATAACGATTATCAAGATAATGTTGATTACTGGAATAGTACAAGTGAAAACAAGATTAGTAAAGAAAATGATAACGACAACTTGAATGAAGAAGATACGGTTTCAATTCCTACACCAATTACTATGAAGAATAATGAAGAGAACAACGGAGTCTGGAATGTAAATAATATTGAGGAGGATATTAGGAATGAAGATTGTGATGTGAAGAATAACGAAGAGGATGATGGAAGTTGGAATATGAAGAACAATGAAGAGAAGAATCGAGGTTGGAATAATGTAACTGAATATACTAATGAAAAAAATGAAGGGTTGAGTGAAAATATTAATAGGAAAAAGAACGAATGTTGGAATAGCATTGTTGAAAACCCTAATCAGAGTAACAATCAAAAGGATGTAGAAGATTATAATAATATCGTTGAAACTGCTAATAATAGTAATGATGACTACTGGGGAGACGCAGAAAATCAATTAATAAATAGCATGAGTAATAATAATATTAATGAAAAGAATAATGAAGATGATTATTGGGGAAGTGAATTACAAGATAATCAAAATAATAACGATTATCAAGATAATGTTGATTACTGGAATAGTACAAGTGAAAACAAGATTAGTAAAGAAAATGATAACGACAACTTGAATGAAGAAGATACGGTTTCAATTCCTACACCAATTACTACCATTTCAGCTGTAACTCCACCAAAAGAAGAAAATCCTAATATTAGTAATGATAATGATTTCAATCAATCACTAATCAAAAAATTAAATACTTTATCAACCATTGATCAACAACATCATGATGAAAAAAAATACAATAGTCATAATTATAATCCAAGAATTATTATCGATATTAATAATGTTATTTCCAATAATAGTTTTCAAAAAGTTCAAGGTGATGGTGGTGGTGGTGATGAACCTAGGGAAATTTTGGTTAAACTCAATAACATCAATAATAGCACCGCTAATAATACTGATACAGCAATTGATACTACTGGTAATACAAATGGTAAAAAAATTCAAACTTTTGTTTTGATTGGTGACGAATTTAAGGAAGAAAAAGAAATAAAATCTGTTATAACACCTCATTCTCATCCCCATCATCATCATCATCCTTCTTCTTCTTCTTCTTCTTCATTTTCATCTTACTCTTATTCATCTTATTCATCTTATTCTTCTTCCTCATCAGTATTATCATCATCACCTAAACAATCAGAACAAAAATTACTTGATTTTAGTGACGATGAAGACAAATCACCAGCTGTAAATAATAATAGTGAGAAGGAAACAACTACTAACACAGCTACTGCAAAAAAAAAGAGATCAGCGGATTTTAAGATAATTGATATGGAAGGTTTCTTAAGGAAAGACCTAGAAGAAGGATTAAAAAAAATGGTGAATGGAGTAATGAATAAAAATCTCACCTCTTCTATTACTATACTTGCCAGCAGCAGTCAGGTATTATTAATGTGATACAATTATTATTATATACGTTTTGATTTATTACTTCTATTATTATATAATAACATGAATTTGTTGGATTGATGATTCAAATTAACAGCTACAGCAACGAAATATGATTCCATTGAATAATCAATTATTGGATGAATTATTAAAATGATAAATATAAAAGAATGAGGATATATATTTGATCGTTGTTGAATGGGATTTGATTATTATCTATTCCCATTTTATTTTCAATCTATTTTTCAAAACAAAATTATTATTAATATTAACCAACGTTATAATTTGTAAATTTTGATTTTCTTTATTTTTATAATATTATTATTAAATAATATTATTAAAATGACGTTTAACTATTTTTCTTGTTTATTTTCTTGTCTGTCTCGAAGTCCTTACCTCATGATTCTGAGAATCGGAAATAGTATTGGTTTTATTTTTAAGTATTATATCAACTAATTAGTATTAAAGTCAATTTGTATAAAATAATTAGTTAATCTACGTGATGCGATCGATATACGTTCTAACATCAATATAGCAAGTAGGTGGATAGATGGTTGATATTTTATTAGTTCACTATATAACAAATTTGTCTAAAACTGCTTATAAAAACATAGTTAAAACAAGCCTGTGCCTCAGGATCTAATTTAGACAAAAACTTATTTCATGGGCGCGACAAAAGTCGCTCGGAATTCATATTTCTTATACAAATTCTATGAAATAGAAAATCGGCGTCCCATATCAATATTAATATTAATATAGATTTTAGGCGTTAGAATTGCAACCGCTGCCACGCATACATGTTATCGGGACGATCCTTTCGCTAACACTTTGACTTTGCTCAATCCTAACAAAGGCCATGGAACTTCATTTATTTGTAAGATCTTTGGAAAATGATGTTTACAAATTGATGCATTAAAACGTTTCAAAATAAGAAATACTGGAGTTTTTGCTTTCCAATAATAGTTTTCTAATTAATAGAATACATAGTGGTCAACTAATATACTAATACTAGTTTATCGCATTATCAAAACATCATTAGTTATTCTATAACAGCCAGCAGTTAATATATACTAATTTAATATAATTACTGTTTTGGAAATACGAACTAGTCTAATTTTAGAAATCATCTGCAATTGATTTAGTTGATTTACAAAAATATATTTTGAATGGACAAAAAAAATAGTCTTTAGCGTGGAGTATTATTAAATAAATATAAATTTTATTGTGGTCTAAATCGATTGTTTTGGCTAAAATTATTATTTTAAGTGTTACTAGACAAAATGATAAGTGATATATTATTGCCCGTTTTTAGAACCTTTAATAATTTACGATTTCCTTTAGGTTTATAATATTTTAACTTGTTTTTTATATTAATATTCTTTCTTATCCAGATCACCAAATGTCGGTGTATATGACGATTTTGTGCAAAGATACTAATACATTTGAACCAATTATATTGGCCTAGTATAAACGAGGAATAATGCTATCCTATTCTAAAGCAATCTGAATCGAAAACTGTGCGCACGCACACGTAAAAAGTGGGATAAGCATGCACAAAAGTTTAAATGTTTGATCCTTTGATATTTAATGTCACATTTAATTGGAAGGATTATCCATCCTTTAAATAATAATAACAAAGGATAATCCTTCCCAATTTTATTCGAATTTAAATTTTTTCTCACGAAAACATTAAAAATTATTAAACTTTAATTCTCTCACTCTAAAAAAATTCGACTTATAATTACTTAAATCCACTATTCAAGTTTCTTTCTACTCTTTAATTATCTTTTTATGCTTGAAAATAAAAATAAAATACGAATTTCACGTGTTTTAATAAACAAAAGCAACAAACCATATATAATAGTAATAATAATAATAATAAGCGTTATTAATATTGCAATAAGCTGGTAAACAAAAGATGAAATTCCTTGATATTGCTTCACTTGAACCAATAAATGCTGCCTTGGTATTTGAAAACCCGGAATGTAGAGTTGTTGGTAGGATAGAAACTTATTCATGTAGGTATAAATATGAGGTGGCAAGAAATGAAGAAATGAGGAAATGAAAGAAATGAAATTATTTGAATTTTAAATAATTTAATTGATAATTGGTATTATTGAAGGCAAATTGGCTGGAGTTGATAAAAAACTTTACAAGAATCTTGAAAGTCAATGGAACAATAATTTATCACAACAAAATGCTCAAAGTGTTTCACCCGATGCTCATTCTTTCGATACAATAATATCACCTTTTGGTTCAATGGATCAACCTTCTTCACGAAGAACTTTGTTTAATCTTATTGCAACTTTGAATGCTTCTTATCCTGATTACGATTTCTCGTTTGTATTAGTTTTGATTTTTTTTTGGAATAAAGATGGATGGTGGAGTTTGGAAAAGAAAAGAGCACGAGAGACAATTACTTAATCAACTAATTAATTATATTATAATTCTTCTATAACCTAATTATGATGTAGTGACGTTAAACCCGATCAATTTACCAAACAACCGTCGGTTCCAATGGTGTGCAATTATATCAATAACACTCTATTTAATCTAGGACGTGCTCACATTATCAATGATCTTATGCTATGGCAAACTGTTGATGATATTATTTTTTTGGACGAGTGTAACATCTATTCTTTCAATCCTGACTCTGATGCTGATCCAAATAGTGACGATGGTGTTATGTACGTATCTCACATATATATATATATATTACATTGTATATGTATCAGAAAACTATACATATATTATAATTACTTACAATCGGGTGATAAGAGTATATTGTAAAAAAAAAAATTTTTTTATAACTGGAGAAAAAATCAAAAAATCATCTTATTTTTTAGAATCTATTTTGTTATTGTTATTACTATTCTTTTAAGAATAGATGTGTCATATAATGTTGTATATGGGCCTCTGTTCTTTTATACAAGCTCATTCATCAAAATGACCATTCTCTTTCTTTCTCTACTATTTCCTTCCCACATTCTTCTTTATTGTTTTTATTATTATAAAAACATAATTTAGATGGGCATTTAATTTCTTCTTTTATAACAAGAAGTTAAAAAGAATATTGTTCTTTACTGTAAGATGTTTAAGGTAATTGGTTTTTGTGCATATCAAAACATCATAATTTAGTTTATGTGATGTATATTAACACTCACATTCGTCAATTCATTAACTCAATATAGTACTACTGCACCATTACAAGAAGATGAACCTTTAGATGATACAATTTCTGAAACAGAAGAAAGTGATATAAAGTAAGAAGTATATAATATATAGGAGAGGAGGGGAAAATGTTTTTTATGAATTGAAGTTGGATTGAATTAGATTTTTAAAATAAAATTTAATTCTTTATTTATACAATTATCAATTAACTGATTAGTGCCATGTCTTACGAGGAATATGTCATGGGTGATATTGAGATGTAAAATAATAGGAAGTTGACTAGATGAATTAATTAATTGGTGTTTTGCGACTTATTTTATTTGATTAAAAAAAGGCTGGCAGAGAGACGCTTTGTTTTTACAATATATCAAATCTTTCTTTTATATATTAATTCTATTGATAAATTTTATGAACATTTTATAAGCAGGTAAATTTTTTATTTTGATATTAATTTTTATCGTTATCAATCAATTAGACTGAATTTGTAAATAGTTAGTAGTATTATCAATGTTTAATTAAATACTCCAATCATTATAACAAAATTATTTTTATAATTATTTTCTTCACCCTATACCCATTGGAAATTGTCAAAATCCCCAACACTGAAAGCTTTATTTTTTACTTGAAATACGTTAAACTACATTCGATTCATCATTAGTTACTTCTTGCTGTAATGTTTGCTGTGTGTACAATCGTTAATTGTCTCTAATGTAACTTTTTAGAAGAATTTGACCATTCAATGATATTTTTTTCGATGTCCGTATCATTATCTATCTGCATGCTAATATCTTTAATTTAAATAAATAAATAAATATATATATCCAAGTTAGTTAATGACGGATTTACTTGCTGTTCTAGATGGCGTGAAATAGAAAGGGTCAACTTTAGCTAGCCTTGCAAAATATATAAATTAATAAATAAAACTTGCGGGCTGGGATGTACGTACTCTATTGTCTGCATTTTATCACGATCGAACAATCTTTGTGAGTGTCTTTTTTATTAATTCTCTCGTGTTGTATCAGGGCGAAAATTTTAAATACTAAAAAAAAACACGTAATTATAATTAATATTCACCTGTATAGGGAATAACTCCTAATCTACTAAAGATCCATGAAATATCATCCAAGTAAATATTTAATTATCATCAACATGTTCCTGGAAGACCTTTATGATAAGTTTTTGGAGAAAAAAATGTCGCGTTTATTTAGCCAATCATACATATAATTTAGAACGTCGATCATTAAAATTCCCAACTCTTAAATAAAAATAGTTATATTTATTACCGTATTAATATACAGTGTGTTTCAAAAAAAACGGAAAATTTTTGTAACTTTCACTAAAAAACAACCCAACTTGTTTCAAATAAAATTTAAACAAAGCTTTGCTTTTTAAAGTTATTTTAAATCATTTTCTAACTGAATCTGATGAGTAATTGGCTTTTAAAATGCGCAAATAGGGTTGAATTTTACTGTTTTTTTCCAATTATATTATTATAATAAAAGGGATACATCTACCTGACAAACACATCATATTATGAGCATTTCATTCACAAATATCTATTTCAATATTAATAAGTTGAACAAAATAGGTGATTTGGCTCATAGAAGAGTTGATTGTTGGTTCACATTTGAAATCACGTGATTTAATACAATTTATCTACTGGTTTTTTCTTTATTTCTTCAAAATATTTAGTAACTGTTTATCAAATAATGGAATAAAAGTCAAAATTTTCAAGATCTGGGACAATTCATTATTAAAAAAACGAAATCTAATTCCTGATTTGTTTCTAATTAGTTTAATTTGATCAAAATCAAGATTAATTAAAACTAATAGTGAAAGCATTTTTGTATTAAAGTATAGTTAATAAAAGGTTCTGCTTTTAATCTATCGAATGGGCCATTTTTCATACAAATCAATGCAATGGTTGTTCCACAATGATTGTTTTAATTTTTCGGTTTTTTTTGAAACACACAGTATATTCATAGACTGTTTCTTTAAAAATTTTTTTTTTGATTGGTCATCATCGCAACCAGAGATCATTTTCCATGCCACAAAGACAACAAGGAGGGTGCTTGCGTAGTCGTGTAAAAAGGATAACTTTATTAAACCTAAGTTTAATAGTATTAATTATTTTATTTTTCCTTTATAACTTGCGATTTTATGAATCAGGGGGGGGGGGAGGAATAATTTTCGAATAAATTTTAAATGGAAAAATCAAAGAGACATGCACTCTCTCTGGAGGGAGATCTCTCTCTTTTTTTAAATTTGGTTCCTTAAAAGTTTCATTCCTGTATGATCTTTTTATTGCAATTTATTTATAAGTAAAAACACACATGTCAAAGAATAATATCGTGAGCATAATGAACTAGATATACAATAGAGAAATCTGAGCCCAGTTCAACTTTTTAATCAAATAAGTGTTTAATTTGTTTTAATTTTCCAAGTTCTATCAAATTAATTATTTCATTGAATTTTTGATGTAGATTAAGTTGGTTTTGTAATGAAGGGAAAATTCTAATTATCAATCCATAAGAAACTTACTAGTAAAAAAGTAAGCATTTTTGATAAGTATTATATTTTTAAAAAAAGATATATTGAGTTGTCAAAATAGATAGTTGTAAAAGATATTGCAATTTGGGGATTTTTTGTGTGTTGATGATGCTTTTATGTTCATCTTACACGAGTTAAAATAATGGTGTTTTCATTTCTAATGCAAAATTAGTACTATATATAGAATTAAAGCAGAAAAACTAACATAGTGGCACGGAAAAGAATCAGGAAAAAATATTGTATAATAACGTTTTCATTAGCTGTTAATATTTAACACTTGTACACAATTGTGATTTCAAGCCCACTTATTACATGACATAATTCGAGATTCAACGAAACCCCATATTAATATTATTATCACGAGGAAAATCCATTTATTTGACTAAGAAAATACAACGAAGGATACATGTCACCAGCAATGAAGGATGAAAAAATAAATGTCTAGTTGCATGGGGGAAACCTGCCCGATCCAAAGCGCTCTCACAAAGCTTATGCTTTGGTTCGATGTGGAATATGAGCCTGTTTGTTGCTATTACAATTTTATTGCCCCTATTTAATTCAATAAAATGAATGCGACCAAAAATAAACCACTGAGCAAATTGAAGCTAGTAATGATGTTAATATTAATGGATTCGTTAGAAATGCATTCGATCTTATTGATAGTAGCTGTTCCGTTGACATTCACATTGCAACTCTTGTTGTTGTTGTTGTTGTTATTATTGTTGTTATTGTTGTTGTTGTTATTGTTGTTGTTATTATTGTTGTTATTATTATTATTATTATTGTTATTATTATTGTTGTTGTTGTTGTTGTTGTTGGGGGCATTTATGGGTCTTTTAGTGGTAGTTGTGTAATCCATCGTCGTAGTTGAGGTTATAGTTACAACATCCATAGTTGAAGTTAGGGTAACAGCATTCAAGGTTGGGATAAAAAAATCCGAAGTTGAGCTAATAACCACATCCAGGGTTGGGGTACTAGGAGTTGTTGAGAGTGGGGTATTAATGAGACTTGGTGGGATTCCGATGCTGCTTGGACAAGTTGGTTTGGAAGGGACAGTCAAATCGGTGTAATTCTGCTTGAAGCAACCATCTACGATGTCTATTAATATTTAGAAGGCAAGCATATTCATAAGTTGTATTAACCTGAAAAAAAATAGATGAATAAGGAATATTTCAAAATAAAATTTAATACTTACTTTGAGGCGTATTACTATCTTGACCGTTAGAAGAATGAAGGACGCAAAGGTGAAAACTAAAAAAGATAATGATAAAATATTGCAATGACTGGAAATTAATAATAACTTATAAATGTAATGGGATTTGAATATCTCATTAAACGCTTCTATTTACCAAGTCCAGGAGTTAATAAAATCTTGCGAGCATGAACATGGGGAAATATTCTTATCGCTGGGGTGGAGAGCATCACAAGCGCTCGCATTCTTTTGGATGGAATTCAAATATGCTTCACAGGTCGCATATTCTACCGCTACGACTTCAAGAGAGAGGTATGACAAGAGAATTAATACAACCACCGTGAATATTCGCATATTATGAATTAATAAAAATTAATTATTATTTGCAAAAAAAAAAGTTCACCATAAATTTATAGGAAATACTATTTTAAGGTCTAATTATAATAATTTCCCATTTGTTTTAATTAATTTATGTTTATTGGACGAGGATAATAAATCAATTTAAATTTTGAGGTTGTGGAATAAATAAATTAAAAAAAATTTCCAATTTTTATTTGTTTGTTTGTTTGTTTGTTTGTACGACATTAATATTAAAACAAAGGTTTTCAGTGACGGACACCACCAGATATGTTTCAGATTTGAGTTTATTGATTTTGTCGGTTATAATATGGAACATACTTTCTTCATCTTTGCGATAAAAAGTCATTTGAGCTCTTCCCAGATTGCAAATGCGAGAATTATTTGACGCTTACGCTTGTTTTGGGCATGTAGGCGAGATTTAGAACTTTGTAGTTGATCTGGAACTCGAAGCTATCGACAATATAAAGAACTTGGTTAATTGCTAACAGAAAAAAAAAGGAGAGTACAGATTGGAAGAGGCGTTGGAATCATTGATTAGAATTACTTTTTAATATATTATAAATATTGTTTGATGTGATTTTTTATTTAATGTAATTTTGACTGATTAATTTATTTAGCAGATATTTATCTTTATTCGAATGTTACATTTATGAAGTAGAAGCATTTCTCAAACGAATTCAGCTTCAACATTATCAATGATTCCATTATATCTCGACTCAATTCTTACTGCAATTCGATTCTGTCTTTGTAATAGTTATTTTAATTTATTCGTTCATTAATTCATAGAATACGGACCTCATCTTTAATCTTTCTTTCCCACGATTGATTCATTGAACGCAAATGGTTCACCTTCTGTATGATATTCCAGTATTACTTTTCCATAATAATAATAATAATCACATACTTGACCCTCATTTAATTTTCTGCTCGTTATGATATGGATCTTGGATTTTTTCAAATTGTACCTCGGTTCTCCATCTGCAATATCATACTCAGGGTCACTAGCACATCATCATCTTTTTTCTCGCCTATTCTTTCTAACCAATCATTGGCTAATTCGTCAAATGTTCGAGGAAATTAAAACTATACTGGGTCAAAGTTGACCAGCATTCTGTTAACACTTCCTTATAGTGCTGTCAGTTTTGACCCAGCGTGAGTCCA